AGTGACTTGTCTTTTCTGACCAGGCCCTACCTCCTAACAGCAAGACAGTTATAATACTCTCATAATACAATTACCCTTCAAAAGCCCTCTGTATGAGTACAGGAAGCTATAGGAGGTTATCTAGATATAAACCCTACTGCCTATATTGCTCTCTCAGTGACATATCTCCTTCAAGGGAATTCAAACCCTTTTTGTTCTGTCCAATAGGATGGAAAATGGTCTGTCCATCAAATCAATGACACTTTACTGTGTACCTCAAGTCATGATTGTCTGCTTTAGGAGGGAGGCCACATTTGGCACTATAACTGCAGGTGGGACTGATTCTTTTACTGAGTTTGTCATTGTCTGCTGTTATTCTACAGGAGCCAAATTAAAGGGCATAGGATAACAAGCAACCACACATCTCCTTGACCTAAAAGGGTGGCATTAATCTGTCCATCACTTCTCCCAAATCTGGAACGAAATATTGTTTAAAAAATGTACTGTATTGAGGAGGTATAGTTTCAGAGATATTATATTAGTAGAGTTGGTTCTGTTCATTGCTGACCAATTACAATTATTCATTTAGCAAGTGGTGACCATTCTTGGGTGTATGGATCCACTGTTAGCTAGAACATGGACAGGACTGCATTTATGATCTCATCTTCACATGCTGGTACTCTTAACAGGCATGACTTCATAGTGCTTCAGTGTCAACTCAAACTCTGTGCCCAAAGTTCTTCAAATATGAGGAATGATTGAAAACTACTGTGTGTTTAAATTTTAAAAATTTATTACAGTAAAAGGTACGTTGCTATTAAGCCCCTTTAAAAGATTCTTCTTACTTCAAACACACTTGTGCCATTATTCTTGCCACTTTCTCAAGCAAGAAGTCTGTCACGAGTGTCTTTAATAATGCTGTCATGGCTCCCTCGATGACCCGAATCCCTTCAAAACTTACTTTTCATTGTCATTTTGACTTTGGGAAATAGCCAGAAGTCACACAGCACCAGATCTGATGATTAAAGTAAATGAGAACACACTGTAATATTTTCATGAGCCTGCCTTTCTGCTGGATGGCACTCAGCAGCAGAATTCACTATATTTTTGACAATACCTCATAAAGACACTCATGAAAGAGAACTTCCAGAATTGCTTCAGAAAGTGAAATAATGATGTACGGTCAAAGTGAGAAGGAGTATTTTGAGGGGGAAAATGGCAAAGTATCTTTTTTTTCCTGATTTTATTTATTTATTTGTTTATTAAGTTTATTGCTGTATTTTAGGTGTACATATGATCACATTCATCATAGGGAATTTGTACCTGTACATGATATATCTTAATTGTTATTTTTTCATATTCCTCTACCCTTATTAAAAAAGGAAACATTTGCTGTATTTTTCATTACTCTTTGTATGTAGCTTTTTTACTTTTAGAGTAGTGTTAGATAAGGTCCATTTTGGAAAAGGATGAAGAGTACTGTTTCCCCATTCATTCCTGGGGACTCTTTTTTAATGGCCAAAGTCCACTAGTCTTTAAAAAGAATAGTTCTTATATAATTTTAGAGATTTCCATTATAATTCTTATAATTAGGGTGGCTACTATTATGTAAATGCCCTCCTTACATAGTTCAGGAAGTTTAGGTTACACAAAACCAAGTTACAAAAGTTATATTTGCAGTCATATATTTTTTGTTTGAGAAGTAATTTTTTTTTTCTTAAGCCAAATAATATCCTGGGAAGACTGGAACTGCCAGAGTAAATTTGCCCTCAATAAGATTGTGTTCAGATAGCTTGGTTCTGAAAGACAGAGATGGATGGCAAAGAGGATAGGTGAAAATGTCAGTATTTCTCTAAAGCTAACAGATATTCTGGAAAATTTCTTATTCCTGTATTCTATTACCTGGCCTTTTCCATTTCAGTTTAGTCCCACTGTTAGGTCAACTGTTGAGAAAGGAAAACCCGAATGATGTATATATAGGACACATAAGGTTACTTTTGGTGGCGGCACATCAGCAATTTATTTAATAATAATTTAGGAAAACTGTATTACTCATTTGTCAATAACCCAAATATGGAAACTTTATTTTGTGTCCCAGTTCAGAAACTTGGAGGTAGGAGTATCTTGGAAAATTTGGGTCTCTTATTATGGATATTCAAAGATGCCTTGTGAAAAAAAGTTGCTTTGCTTGTGAGATGAGACTTTTACAACTCCACAACTTCCTTTCCTGCCCCTTTTCACTTTGAGTAAGCAGAGGGAGTCTCAACACTGGTGTATTGGATCCTACAGAGGACCCCAACCTCCTGCTTGGAGAAATGGAAAAGGCTACAACGCATGGTGAGAAGAAAGACTCAGAGACAGAATTAAGGAGAGAAATGAGGCTAGGAGGTCAGTGCTGAGCAAACAGCAAAGACACTGAACAGCCAGAACTGGTGATATTTATTGGTGACACAATTATTGGTTAAATTGGGGTGAGGATTGGTAGGGATATGTTGCTGATGCAGGCAAGGCTTGTAAAAGAAGAGACAAAGCTTTTTTGTATTGGGAACAGACCATACCAGATATAGGTTGTGGTGAACAATTAACATTCTTTTTAGTTAAGAAGGTTTTAATTCTGGGGATAGAATTTGGGTGGGAGTCACTCTGACCTTGGCTTTGGTGGGACTCACTTCTTAAAACAAGCCAATTATGGGGTTAACTCTTTACAGCCTGTACTGCTTATAGCCTGTTTTGTGCATAATCAACAAATAGTCTGCCACACTGGTAGAGGTGTATGAGTAGGGTTGGTTATTGAAATCATTAATGGAGTTTTTAAAGATACTATCTGTTGAATGGTCCCTGATGAATGTTGTAAGGCTTATTATATTAGAAAGTGGTGACCATGAGTGCACTGATTTATGATATAGAATGGTGGCTTAAATAACAGAAATTTATTTTTTTCACCATCTGGAGGCTAGCACTCTGAGATCAAGACATGGGCAATAGTTATTTTTTATAATGCCTTTTTGTTTGGCTTGTAGATGGCCGTCTTCCTGTGGATTTCTAACCTTGCACATATTGGTGTACAATTTTTTTTTTGTCTCTTAAGGGTTATCTACCAGTCACATTGGATTAGAGTCCACCTTCAAGATCTCATTTTAACTAAATTACTTATTAAAAGACTATCTATCTCAAAATACAGTTACATTCCTGTAGCATTGGGGGTTAGAATTTCAACATATGAATGTTAGAAGGAATGATACAATTCAGCCTGTAAAAATTAGGGTTGCTCTTTACATTGCCATTACCTTCTATATAAACAATGGGCTTAATTAACCCCTTTAAACCTAGAGTGTCTTGATATTTTGAACTTCTTGAAACTGTGTGAAAATTTAGAAGTATGTACATTCATGAGTTTCTCTATTGTTTCTCAAAAGATTGAGAGTCAAAATGGTTTTTAACTATTGGTACAGGGAACGTGATTAGTATCTCTGTACTTTACTTTTATTTTTTGTACACAAGTCTAAGAACCTGACATTTGTCATTTTCATTATTGTGTCCATAGGATGAGAACACTTTTAGTTGCAAATAACATAAAATTTTGAAAGACATCATTCGTAAGTTGAGGTTACCTGACTGTTGGGATAAATAATAATTGTGTTTTGTGGATTTTAGCAGCTTATATACACTTTAATAAGCAAATTTAGCTTGATTTGTAGATTCTAGAAGATGAGACCATATGTGTTTACAAAACACAGTACCACACACAGTAACACCTAATAGCAAATTTTACGTGTGTGTGTGTGTGTGTGTGTGTGTGTGTGTGTGTGTGAGATGCTAGGATCAAAGTGAGGGCTTTGAGCATGCCAGGTAAGTGCTTTACCACAGAGCTTAAATCCCTAACCCTCAGCTTGTACTTTTTAGTAATTATTAAACAAGTAGAGCTTACTGAAGTTATTTATACAATCACCTTGAAAACTAGACAGCTTGTCCATAACCATAGAACCTACAGATTCTGTTCTGATTTCTAAAGCATAGCTTTAACAGTATTTGAATTCTTCTTACTGTATTTCTGACTATGCTTTTTACCTGAGTAAGAAATGATTGAAAAGACATTGTATGCTAACAGCTACCTAGTCTAAATCTAGACGGAAAGATAGGCATTTGTAGTGGCTCCTGGATATCCTCATTCAGAGATAGGTCAAAATTTGTGCCCTCAAAACTGAGCTACTGGTATAAATTCTTCTAATACAGCTGCTCACAACCTTTAATGTAATTTTTTTCTACAAAAAGAACAAACTAATTTATTTTTGATTATGCAGCCTTTATTATTTTATGTATTTTCATAGTTGTGCTTTCTTTCCAGAACTAGAATATTAGGCAAAGATTTCAAACATTAATCATTTTCTTAGACTTATTTTCAGGCATCTTTAGCACTCTAATAGTAAAAGTGATGTTTTACAAATAATTTTTAGCTTGAAATTTATATCTCATAGACTCATGTGCCTAGGTATATATTTCTTAAATAATGGAATAGTTAATAAACAGTTCTATCTTCACAGCTGTAATTTACTTTTCTCTCAAGAATTATAATATACCTTTATAATTTAGAATAACAACCCAAGTGAATAAAAAGAACATATTTTCAAATATACCTCTTTTATTATTACTTTTTCTTTATTGTTGAGCATTCGACAATCTCAACAGTTTAACAGGGAAACAGTTTCTATCTTCCAAGGAGAACTGATAGTTAATCAGCAGAGAAAGGTGGAGTAGAGATTTTTTTTTTCATTTACAAATGGCAGCTGACTTTGGTAGGCTCAATTACAATGCTTTACAAACTCTCAAAGCATTTAATGGTGGTAGAAAGAAGTCATTCCTAGAGAATAACTTTGGAGAATATGAAACATGACCATAAGAGGATGGATCATTCAAAACTCACAAAGGACAACAACCAGAACAAATAAGCTTATGATGAAATAAAGGCTCAACAAGGCTTCTCCTTACAGGCGGCTTCTTAGCTTGTTGAACTGGCATGGCTGCATATTATTAAAGCAACAGCAAGGTTTTGGGTCCAGGATAGTTTAAGAACAAACTTTTCGATATCAAGGAAAAGTGAGTATTTTTAAAACTTCTTTTCCAATTCTATTTACTGATGCTAAATATATGCCGAATTTCTTTCTTTCTTTTTTTTTTTTTTTGAGATAAGGTCTCACTATGTAGTTCAGGCTGGCCTCTAACCAGCAGTGTTCTCCTGCCTCAGTCTCCAAAGCACTGGGATCATAGGTATGTGCCCCAGGTCTAGCAGTAAATGCCAAATTTCTCCTCACACTTTTCTGATTTGCTAGATTCCTTGAATCACAAGGAATGATTAAAATATAATCTTTAGTAATACTTATTGCTTGAGTACTGGCTTTATATAAGTTGATAATTTGTGTAACCAGCAGTGTTCTCCTGCCTCAGTCTCCAAAGCACTGGGATCATAGGTATGTGCCCCAGGTCTAGCAGTAAATGCCAAATTTCTCCTCATCCTTTTCTGATTTGCTAGATTCCTTGAATCACAAGGAATGATTAAAATATAATCTTTAGTAATACTTATTGCTTGAGTACTGGCTTTATATAAGTTGATAATTTGTGGAAAAGTGACTTGCTAATAACAAAGTTACTACTAATAAAGTACTAAATTTTGGGAAATATTTACTTTGGCGATGTCTATTAAGACAGTTATAATTCTCCTTTTTGTTAACTTGTATAAACTATGCTTTCTTTAGAGTTAAAGAAAGGACTAACAGGGAAGGAGCCAGCAGTTTTGAATAACCCTGATACATTTATGAGAATGCTTTCTATCCTATATAGAGCAACAGATAAAAAATACTGAGAGCCACCGATCTAATGTACAGCCTGTACATTTGTGCACTTTGTTGGGGCAGCCCTCCAGTAGAAAGCAGATTCACAGTAGAAGTTGACCCAGACAGCCTTGCCCAAACTGACTAATTATAGAAGATATGTTACCATTAACAATGTTAGCCTCATTATATTCAAGTTTTATGCACATTTTCTTAATTTTAAATTTAAAATAAACATATGCATTATCTCTAAAATTCACTTTTCCTTGTTATTTCTGATACTGGATTATTGGGATAGTAGCTTCATTTTATGATGGTATCATCATTTTTGTTTTATTAGATTATGCTCTAAAATGGCAGGTGTTATCTATTTATACTTAGGTGTGTAGTGAATCCACTTAGATGACCACATCATGACATTAGTCCTAAAGGATTCCTTGTGCATGTTGTTCCCTTGCCTTTTTCATGACAACTTGGTAGAACTTGATTTCTATAGGTTTCCCATCAGTTGCCTAGCCAGATATTTCTCTGACTACCATTAATATTGGTAATCCTGCTAATTCTTTTTGTGGCTCATTACACTGTCTAATTAACATTTACATTAAAATATGTGTGAAAAGACTGAATGTAACCCTTCACATGATTAAATTTCTTTCTACCTTTTCACTCCTTTATTTTTTTCCAGCATTTTGGAATGGGTGTATCCTCTTTACTTATGCTATTTTAATTTTTCAGTTTCAAAAAATATGGCTGCTAGTTTTGGTGTGTTTCTTCTTGTTGTGGGTGTATTTTCAATACACACAAGACATCTATTCAAAGAATTTAGAGCCTTGGCTATGATTTATTTTTGCTGCTGTCAAACATACAGTACTACTTGTTACCATGCTCATCTGTGGAAACATTAGCATCTGTCTGCAGTTGCTCTGTTTTGACACTGAGTGGCCAACATGCATAGAGACATTGAAACTATCAAGCTTTTTCAGACAAGATTTTGATCATGCTGGGTGACAGATAACACATATTATTAAAAATGTGAAGAAACTTTGTACAGGAATCTCAAGAGAGGTTGAAGGGAACAATTTCAGAGTTGTGCTTGAATTTTCTGGACATAATTAAATAATAAGATGGAATGGAAAGAGCACTGTAGTGGGAAATAGAAGATAGGCATTCTTGTTCATGTTCTTGAGTAAAAGTAATTTAGTTATAATTCTGAATGACCTTAGTTTTTAACTGAATTTCTTGGGTGAATATCTTATTTTCTGAGCCTTAGTTTATAAGTCACAAGACAGTATAAAAATTAATGGTAGTATTGCCTCTTAACTATGTGACAACCACTCTCTTTTGATCTGCTTTTGTGGGTTCTTTTGGTCAGTCTCCTACTTTTAGAATTTTTTTTTATAAGAAGCAAGTAGTTTCTCTAATTTTCTATTTGCCCTCCAACTCTTAGGAAACAAATATTAGAGACTTCTAACATTCTAAAGGCTCTTTATCTCTCTGCTACTCAACAGGGATATATCCAGGGAATAAGACCAAGATTGCCCATCTTACATCATTTACCATGGAGCAGACCTCAGTGTTCACAAGAGAGGAAGATGCCTACAGACCTGGGCTCAACATGAGTAAGAGTTATCACAGGGAAAGGCATAGCATGACAATCATGCTGGGTCTCTTCCTTTCTTAACTGCCTATTTCACAGTGTGGACACACTTTGGGAAAAATATCTGTGTGTGTGTCATTCAAATGAGTTGATCATAAAATCTGGGGTTTCTGGAGTCAAGGAGTATATTTTAGATTTTATTTTTGGTATTGGGGATTGAACTTGGGTCCTTATGCTAGTGAGGCAGGTGGCAGAACCACTGAGCTAAATTCCTGGCACAAGGACTGTTTTTTAAAATATTAGACTGAGTACAGAATTATGGAGAAGTACCTCATAGGAACCACTGTGATTCAGCTGTTGGAACAAGTAAAACTTCAGTTACTGTTCTGAAATGAGGCTTAGGGCTAAAAAGCACACAGAACCAATCAAATGCAGAAAACAAAGGGACTCTGAAGGTAAGCAAGGGTGCATTTCAGCTCCTTATCTTGTGTGTGTGTGTGTGTGTGTGTGTGTGTGTGTGTATGTGAATGAAGGAGGCTAATTTCAGAAGACTAAATGTCAGTATTACTCAAGATTCCCAGCAAAAAATGTGGGAATCTAGTAGATGACTCTAACTTTTGTGATATTCCAGATGGAAGCCTAAAGTAATTGATTAAAAATTAAAATAAATGTAAACAAACATTTTCATCCAGCATCACAATTGAGATATATTACTCACCTGTTCATGTATGCAGCTTTGCTAGGTAAAACAAAGTTATACATGAAGTAAGCATTCAAGAGGTACCATAAACAAATGTGAGATAATCCATAAAATTAAGTCAATTATACGATAATGAAATAAATTTTAATATGCAGAGATGTATAGTTGTTTGGGAATCTAGGGGAAACGATTAATACAGTGTATTAAAGGAATTAGAGATGCTTTTAAAGAGGGGAAAAAAACCTTTATTCTGAGCCTTAACTGAGTTGGAGCAAAGTAGACAAAGAAGGGGTTGTTAACATATAGGATGAGCTGGTGCCAAGACTTAAAACCAGGTCATTTAGGGAAGCAATTTATGGAAGATATTACCCATTTCATGAACTATATACTTGAAGAATCAGGAAATAAGCAAATAAAGTGTATGCCACACACCAAAGATGACATAACTACTATCATATAAAAGTCACTAGTGATTTCTAGTTTCACAAGCCAGATTTTAGTATACAGTAGATAAATTTAAATTATAAATTAAAGCCTTGGAATTAATACATGACTAACATGAAAAATATATTAAATTCAGAAGAATTTGTGCTTTCGAGAGAGAGAGAGAGAGAGAGAGAGAGAATTATAGAGACATGTTCCATTGTATTGGTGAAATCTGTTCAACAGCTGTTGTTTAAACTGATAGTGGGAGCAAGTCCAGAGACTGGATATTCCGGACAAACTTCTTACTCTTACCCAGGAAAGGCGTCCTTTGTCTGTAATGAGAATATTCTACTTGCCAGAGATTAACTCACAAGACACCCTATTTAACCTAATGTGCAAAATGTTAGCCTCTGGGATTGCTTTGTACTAGATTGCAGAAATATAAGCAACTTCTTTCTTTCCCTGTATTGAGTTCTCTGATGTGTTGTTGTAGCTCTACCCATTGATAGAAGGTTTCCCCTCTCTTTGAATCTGGGATACCTTTATGAACTGCATAGCCAAGGTAGCTGCAGCAAACTTAATGCCAGCATAGACTTTGAAAGTGCTTGGTCATTGAGGTTTCTTCTCCTGCTACTCTTGGCAGCACAGCTACTACCATGCTAAACAGCTAGACTAGTCTGTTGGATGATAAAAGACCTTTCTCCCAGTTACCTCCAACTTATAATCAGCCAATTATCAGAAGAGTGAGGCAATACCTTGCTGGTTGACCACAGACACAAGAGTGAACCCAGCTGTCAGAACCTGCAGCTGAGGTTCAACCCAACCCAGATAACCACAAAAGTGTGAATCAAGTATCTTCCTTCAGCCACTAAGTTTTGATTGGTTTATTAATTTGTCTGCTAAATATGAGACAGTTCTCCTGTTTTTGTTCTTTCTCATATCTCTTTGTAGAGAAGTACTCTTTTCTTATCTCCATAGCATCTGTCTGTCTGCTTACTCAGTCTGTTTGGTCTCCTGATTAGTGACCACAAATTATTTATAGAGTATCTATAGGTTTACTAAAAATTTGTAATATATCTATGCCACTTCAGAATATATCCCCCTTTTGAGGTTAATTGTTAAACAAACTGTGCTATGTCCACAATATTTAATACTACTCAGAAATAAAAGAATGATTTATTGATACATAAGCAAGATGGGTGAATCTCGATATAATTATGTTGATGAAAGAAGATGTTAGGAAAAATAAAATAATATAGGATTAAGTTCATATAAACTGTAGAAAATGCAAATTATATTAATCAGCTTTCCTGCTATGAGGACAAAATTCCTGACATCCATAACTAGAAAGAGGAGAAATTTAATTTGGTTCATGATTTCAGAGGTTTATCCACATTCAGCTGGCTCCAAGTCAGGCACATCACCGTGGGAGGACTTGACAGATGAAAACTTCATCTCAAGCTGGCCAGGGAGCAGAGCACATGAGGCGTGACACAGGTGAAGGGGCTAAAGACCAGATGTAAGTCCCAAGGTCACGCTTCCATCACCCATCCACATATACTCAGAAGTGTGCTTTGCTGATCCCCTAGAAGGTTTCTGTGCCAATTGAATGGAAAATTAAGCTTAACCCTCACACAAAGTAATGTGTAATGAATAGACACTAGATTACTGAATGCTGGGGACTGGAGAGGATGAAGATATGATTAGAAAGAGCATGAAGAAACTTTTGTGGTGATAGTTTCATGGTTACGTGCACTCATCAAATTATATGCTTTAAGTATATGCAGTTCATTGCATGCCAATTATACTTTAATAGTTTTTTAAAAGGTGGATAAAAGAATCTTGAAGTTGATCACAGGGACAGTTTAGTAGGCTCTCAGAACTTGGAGAGCTATTGTGGGGTTATAATCTAGTTAAATTCAAGATTTAAAGACTTTTTTAAACTACTGAAACTGGAGGAGGCAGGCAGTTTAAGTAAATCGATATTAAGAAATATCAACTTAAGATTTTAATCAAATTAAGGGAGTATTTGCCATTTTCTTTCTCTTAAAACAAATACAAATTATTTTGTTTCCAAAGTTTAGGAGATACTAGAAATAATTCTGTAATGTAAAAATTATTTGGGATTATTTATTTGAAGATTTACAGAAAGTACAAAGGTATTACAGTATTTCAACAGCATATGTTTTTGGATAAGAAATTCTGATACACTTTGTAATTATACCTTTGTTTGTTTTACTAACTTTTTCAGATTTTCTAAAAAGATAGTGACTTTAGGAATATAGGACAAAATATTCCACATTTTAATGGTAGGAATAATTTTTTTTTGTACTGGGGATCAAACTCAGGACCTTTTGCTTACAAGGCAGGTGGCAGCACCACTGAGCTAATTTTCTGGCCTGGTAGGAATAAAATTTTAACAATATGATAAATTTATAGATTTTCTTACAACCACAAAGAAGTAGAAGCTAGAAAGATAATAATGTGTAGCATGCATTTCTTGTGAGAAAAATTAAAAAATAATGATACACCGTAGCAATTTTATAAATGACTTCCAATAAGAGTCCATGTTTCTAATGTTATTCCTACAAGGATTCTAGGCCACTACTTAAGAGAGCAGATTAAAAACAAACAAACAAACAAACAAACAAACAAACAAACTACTGTATGATTTGCAATGAAAAAGTGCCAGATATTTAAAATGTAAACTTTGTTTCCCGGGGAAATAAATTCCTATGGAAGTGTAACACAATAAAAATCTTTAATCACATAATATGAACCTTTCAAAAGAGACCATTTGTAGGTACCTTGAGAATAAATGGTTGCATGTTTTAGACTAAGTCATATCTCCTACAGAACAACTAATTAAAATAGTAAACCCTACATTATTTAGTTTGGGCTGCTTATTTTAAAAGGCTTCAATAAGTCTCATGTTTTTTAAAACCTTATTTAAGACTATATTAAGTTCAGTTATCAATTTAAAATAGAATGTCTCCAAAAATTCAGAGTGGTTGAAATGATATTTAATTATAATTTAATATACATTTTAAGGGCTGGGGATTTAGCTCAGTGGTTCCGCAGCCTGCCTTGCAAGCGCAAGGACCCGAGTTCAATCCCCAGCACCATATCATTTTATACTTTTATATATAAAGAGACATTTTGGAAGTAAACTCTCAATTCAAATAGTTAAGTTCACATACTAAGGTTACAGATGAAACCTAGACTGAAGTTGAAGTAACAAACGTTACAAAATTTGCAACCCTCACACCCACCTAATTTAATTACTTGACATCTTTTAGATAGAAAATATGGTTAATTACTATGCACGCAAGTGAAACATATTCCATATCTTTGTAGATACGGTAATTGCATTTTATAGCTTAGTGGGGCAAGCATGTGATACTTTCTTAATGGTCGCAGAGCCATATATACATAAAACTTCAGAGGTGGAATAAATTTAGCTATCTTGACAATTGCAATAGTTGAAAAGAAGGATGAATATTGTTTTTTTAAGTCCTTGAATTATCCCATGTTGTAAAGGTCTTATAATATTTCCTAGGTTACCATTCTCCTTTGTTTCAGATATTTTCACTTTGCATAATATTCTAATCACCAAATGTGATCAAAGTAAGCCTAACACCCTTCATTTGAGCTCACATGCGCATTGTTTAAACCAACACTCAATTTGCCCAAACCTGTAAGGACACGATCTTTCACAGTCGCGCTATTACATTTCTGTAAATACCACTGAGTTCCTTTAACGAGGAATCTGCTTACGTAAGGTTGCAGGGCAAATCCTCTAAATCCATTAGAAGCTGCAATTAAAAAAAAAAAAAAAAAAAAAACCCCGCACAATTCCTGAAACCAGATACTTTTTGCTTTTTTTGTGAAGAAATGGGAGTCCTCGTTCGAATCCTATTTTGCCCTCTAGATGGAGACATAGTCCAGCATTTACACCGATTGCCGCGTTCTCTCGCATCTTTTACTATCTTTCTTTTCTTCTGCAGGACCGCTGTTTGCTCTCAGCAACAGAACTGGCGGTTGGAGAGAGAGAGATAGAGGGGAGGCGACGTAGCCTGGTCCAGCCAGCCCATTTTGCTGCTTAACTCCGCCCGGAGTGCCAGCACCTATTCTCTCCTTGCGTCTGTGCACAGGGGCCAGTCGCTTCGTACTCTCCGGACAGCTAGCTTGGGTGGAACAGGGGTCTAGTGTGGAACGAGGGGGCTGTCTTTTACGGCAACTTTCTAAAGATCACCCCTAGTGTATTTGGACAGTACATGGCCTTGGGGGTGGTGACGCCGCCACAGGCTCTGATTGCTTTTGGTTTACTGCTGTTTCCTCTGGTGGTCGGGATTTGTTTCCAGGAGCCCCTCTCCCCATTTCTTCTTTCTCGCCTCCCTCTTGTGTAGAAGGGACCCGAGCGACACCTGCTCGCTTGTATCCGAGGTCGGGACTGGCCTCTCCTCGGTGGTGAGGGAGGGCCCAGCAGAGGGTTTCCCTTCCTTCCAGCACAGGCTGCCCGGTGGGGCGGCGGGGGTGGGCTGCGTGGGGCTCTGCCTGCGGTGCTGCAGCTGGCCGGGAGTTGTTGCTAAGTGGACCAGCGTTGTTGGCTCAAAGTCTCGGAGAGGGCAGCAGCGGGACCTGCCTACGACCTGCGGATCAGGGGCACCGAGCCCAAGGAACGCGGGAGTCTAGTGGGGGGGGCCCTGGCTGAGCCCGGAGCCTCCTCTCCTTTCTGCCCCGAGCATCCCCAGGAACTACTTCTCATTGGAGATCCGCAACCTGCGAGAGCCGGGAACTGGAAGTGCGAGGCGAGGCCGCTGCCCTGAAGGTGAATCCTTCCGTCCAATTGCCTCTCCCCGGGGAGCCAGGAGGGCGGGCGAGCCGGAGCGGAGGATGTGCGAGCGCGCGCGTGTGTGAACCGGAGACGACGCCAGGCGAGAGGAAAAGTCTTCACTCGGGGTTAAAAGCAAACAAATCAGAGATGGAATAAGAGAGGTAATTGCAGCGAGCCCGCCTTGATTTTCGCAGTCGGGGAGCGGAGCGCATCCGGTGAGGACGCGGGCGGCCGCGATCGCTGCCAAGGGCTGCGGGACCCCGGCTTTCTCCTCAGCAAACAGATCTTTTGATTACTTTGACACTGTGGGGTAAAGAGGAGGGAAGAGACCCCGCACTGGTGGAGACCGTCTACAGGCTTCAGAGAGCTTCCAGTTTGGATGTGAAGAGATTCCTGAGCCCTCATTGCCATCGGAGGTGAAAGCACACACAGACACACACACGCGCGCCCACACACACGCACGCTCAGGGTCACACTCACGCCCTCCCCGAGCACACACCGCCAGACTCCGGTTCCCTATGCCCCTGGATGGTGACGGCGGATTGGCATCTTGGAAACGATGCAAGAGCGATAAGGCTGGCGCCGGCCCGCGGAAGCTGCAGGGACCTCGCTAGGTGTTGCCGCCACCGGGAAGCCCGGCTGCAGGTAGGCAGGTGCGACCGCGCCTCCGCATGCCAGGGCTCTGGGGACCGCGGCGCACTCGGGGATCGCGGCACGAAGCCCCCTAGACACATGTCTCTCCTCCCCTTTTTCGAGGGCTCCGGACTATGGAGGGGCGGGGGGGGCAAGAGATGGGACACAGACTCTGCCAGGCGGTCCGCGTAGGGCGGTCAGGAGGGACTCCGAGAAGGGACCAGGGTGCCAAAGCAGGTTCGGGAGCGGTGCCTTCTCTCTCCTCTGCTCCTTTGCTCGGCACACAGCCGCGACCCGGTGGAGAACTGAAGTAGAGTTTAATTCAATCCATCACCCAGACCAATCCTGGCAGCTAACCATTTTGAACTCCTACTTAGGAGTTGGGGGTCGAGTTCACGGGAGGATCACTGATCAATGGAATGTGTCAGGTCGCCTATCAGAAATCCCTACTTTCTGTCCACTTCTGATTAGTTAATTCTCAGGCCTGTCTGCAGAGGGTGGGCGTTTCAGGGAGGCTATTGATTTCTCCACTTCTAAGTACTGTATTTTTATAAAGAATCATGCTGGAAGTTTCTGAGCGATTTAGATTTAGGAACAGACACTTTATTTATGAATAGGGCTTTTGGAAGGGCTACTACAAGGGACCTTTAGAAAAAGATCCTTTTCTGAACGTTGAAAAGGAGAACAGCTTCAGGGAAACTAATGATTTTTCATATTTTCTGATTCGATGTTCCACAAATCTTGCTATTAATGCTCAGGTTTCCTGTCCAGTTGCTTTTCTCTCTTCCCCTTTCTATTCTAAAAGGCTAGGTGTCTACCACCAGGTTTTTTCTTTAAGCTACTGATCTTCACTTGTCACCGGGAAACGGGGTGTTTCCAGAAACTGCTTTTGAAAGGGAAAGTTGGACAGTTGTCTTCCCCTTTCTTTTAGAACTGCAGGTTGAGCTATCCAGTGTCTGCCTGGGTAGGGTGAACCAGGGGCCCTGGCAGAGCTCCTGGGGTAGACAGGGTGCACTGCTTGCCTATTCAGTGTTCCACCCCTTGACCGAGTGTTAAACACCTGCCTGAGCGTCTGCAATCAGAAGGGTAGTTACTACAGCTTCTCCTCATCTTGTGCTGGGGTTTGGCTTATGGCAATAAGAGATGTAAAACAAACAAACAACAGCAATAAAAAACCCTTCTTTTCTCCGTGACTGTGAAATCTCTTCTTGAATTTTATAAAGTTGTTCATGTGCTAAAAAGAAAACAAAAACAAAAACAAAACAAAAAAAAACCCACGAAAACCGCCAAGGCCCCTACACTCTTCTCTGAAAAGTATCCCCAAAGCACTCAATTATGAGAGTCCTTCACTCGGGCCAGGATGAATTTCAATGACTATTGGCTGGGGGGTAATTATTTAGTTCCCGTCTTCCCAACTAGATTGTTTTTGACGTCCACATACAGATTGTTATCAACTGACACTTTAAAAACTCTTCAATTAGCCAGTATAAGATAAGAAAAATGAGGAATTAATTTAAGATACCCAATTAAAGAGATAAAGCAAAACAGCTATCAAAGGAGATTAAAAATACTTCTAGGACTTAAAAAGGATCCAGAGCACTAGGGTTATTTGAATTACTCCAGCCTTTCTGTGTGCACATGTACTGTCAGACTGGTGAATCGTTTACAAATTTTGGAATTGACACCTGACATCTTTAATGTTTTTGCCTTTTAATTTTTTATCAGTACATATTTTAAAATAGCATATCAGGAATCTTTAATTTAATTGTCTCTTTTCTTGCTTTATTCTGCTCTGGATCTCATCCTTAGTCAATTGGATCTTGACCTTTTTAGAACCCTAATTTTTAAAGCCATCACTAACCCCTCAAAGATCATCAATAACCACACTGAAGCTGATTTTATTTTCATTTTCCTAATTTTCAATGAAAATAATTGAGTTATATTAATTATGGATATAAGACTCTGAGAGCAGTTGTACTGACAACTGAATACTTAGACTTAGGGAATCTTTTAAGAGGCAAATACAAATGCAGTTTTAGTGTTTTTTACTCAAAGGATACATTATTTTGAGATGAAAATCTTGAATCTTTTCTTGCCTTTAAAACATAGTAGTTTAGAATGCCTAAACCCATATTTATATATAGTACCAAGATATATGTCTCTTAAAGAAGAACCTAAAAACCTTGACATTAAATCAAACACCTGTGTAATTCTATAAGTTATGCTCGAGGGGGATTTAAGGTTTCTGAGTATGTGTGATTCTGAATTGGAAAAATATTAACTATTTTAACAAGGACAAATTGAAGAATGAAGATTCTTTAGCTTGCTCATGGATCTGTGTCAGAATGCAAATATATTGCTTAGAGACTGCATTATAGTATTTACTAACCACCAAATTATAAAATGTGATGACATGGCTGCAAAAAGGAAATCTGTTTTTAGATGTGGCCATTTTTCCTTTTTAAAAATTTATAAAATGATGAAACTTTGGGGATGATAGAAAATTTTAGAAAAGTTATTTTATACCCTATCAGAAAATTCTAATAATCATGAATCCAATATGGTTCACAAAGTGTTTTGATGACCATCTTAAAATGTATTTTTGTATTTAAATATACAAAGGACATTCCCAGGTTGATGTAGCACTAATTTCATGTTATGGATTATTTTATAGAGAAAGGGTGAGGTGGGCCTCTCCAGCATTTTCAAGGCGTTTCTTATCATGGCTCCTAAAAAAACAGTATTGTCAGATTGTACTCAAGTTCAGCTGTAACTGCACACTAGTGAGCATTTACTGATGAGCTTTCTAATGCATGTCTCAAATGAGGAATATTCCGAAGTGTCATCAGTTATTTCCAGTATACTTGAAAAGATGAAACAACCAGAGTGCAAACAGTTCAGTGCCCCTGCTTTTAATTCTCCAATATTTTATTAGGGATGCCTCATTAAGTCACATTATTCTGCAGCTGTTTTGCTCATTGAATTCAAGCAAAAATAAGGAACTTTACTGTGTGATGCAGCTTTGTTTTCTTGGTGAAAAATCATGCAATGAAATGGAATAAGCATCCAACATAGTCCCCTTTGATCTATGCCTGACATTTACAAATGCAATTCATCAATCTGTTATTAGTAGGGCTCCATCAAAACAATGAGAAGAAATGCATTCGTACAGATTGCTTCTAGATATGAAGGCCAAGCCAGCTGAATCAACCTCATCTCTGGCCCACATACTTGTACAGTACTTCACTTGCTATATCTTGCTTTTGAATCATTGGTTTTGTAATGCCATAAAGTATGATGAATTTGCCATTTTGTTTGAAAACTCTGATTATTTTGAACTAGCTAAAGAGTGTAGAGCTATTTAATCATTCCATTGACAAAAAATAAATAATTTTACAACAAGTTACTATGAGTCTTTTTAAAGAACATCATTACTTTAGGTTTGGAACACAGTTTGAATGAGTTATAGACAGGTACACATAGCAAATGGAGACCTAGAAGTTAAGTTTCTGTTTTTTTGTTGTCATTGGTCACTGACTTATTTGGTAAATTTGAGAATATCTGATTCTATTTATTCAATGTAGTGATTCAGTGTCCTTATCAATTTAAATAAAACTAAATATTTGGTGTTTTTATCCTTACAGAAATTTTAGACTTATTACAATGTAAAAAAGTATTTAAAAATCAATGCTCTGCAGTATCTGTACAATCTCTACATATGTCTATACACACAAAAGTTTTTAATGACACCCATGCAAAATCTGATTTTGTGTTAAATAGGCAAGAAAAGCTATAAAAACTCTACATTTTTAGATACATAATTTTTTACCATTTTACATCATTTAACCTGTAGCACAGTTGGATCCATAATTTAACAAGGTTGTTTATAGTTGAGTTTTATTGTTTGAACTACTGTTATATACAGTATATTTTTCTTCACTTTTTTTCTTGTGAAGATACTTTTATTTGCTTCTACAAATGCAAAAATAAATCAGTTTCCTAAAATGTGTTTATGAACAGTACAACTGGGAATTCCAATACATTTCAGGCACTCAATATGTCTGTATGTTGCCTTTATTAAATATATTTTTCCACAGTCAAAACACAAACCATGCAATACATTGAAGCATACTATTGTGATTTGCAAATGGCATCTACAATTTTTTTTGAAACATTTGATATTACACTCCGAAATTATGTTAGATTTCCAAAACCCACCTACTTCCAATGTGTATACTACATGAATATGCTAGATTTCTTCTCGTTGATGGATAGGCAAGCGAAACCCTGGAATCAACGTAAATTTGGCTCATTCATGCAACTGATTGTTATTGCCATTGGAAAATAAAAGACTTCTGGTCTGCTTGATGTAAGATGAAAAGTGAATACATAAGCACTAAAAAGAATATTCTGTTTTGTTCACAGTGGCCCATGTGATGTAGCAATAGAACTAATGAATCAGTTTATTTGCCTATGTTGAATCAAACCCTGTTCATCAGTTCTTTTAGTTCCCTAAATTATTCCATAGTGGCTGTAATTATTTTAAAATTTGTCTTGTATGTCCAGTTAGCAAAGGTGCATTTTTCCTTTCTCTAAGCAATAGCACAAATGTAGTATTTCAATTAAATTTATATTCATATTGCTTCTTTTATACAGTAGATTTTGGAAATGCTTTATACTGTGAGATTCAATAATGTGATAATGTTGCATTCTAGCAATCATTCTAGCAATAGGCTCAATTTAGTACTTTGATAAAATGGACACAACTACAGAAATAAGCCTCCTTCACTCTTTGATCTCCTTGAGCTATGTAAAGCTAACTACCCACATGATGCCTAGAGAGTTCAAAGTAGCTTTTGATGAATGCAAGTCTTATTTTACTAAATATTTTCATGTTTGTATGAATTTTGCCACTATGAACTAGTCACTATCTAATCACTATCTAACTGCATGCATGAATGGGCAACTGGGTTGCCCTTTAAAGGTCTTGCAAAGTTTTTAAGCCTTCCAATTTGTAGTG